AGAGGCGTAGGTAGGGAGAGGGGCGGAGGCCATCTCGCTGCAGCGCACGTACCTGGGCGCCATAGCTGAGCTCCGCACCGGCGACCTGTGACACAGCAAGACGGCCGAGACGTCAGTCCAGCTGACGGGCATCTCTGCAGGTAAGGACAGCGAGGAGGACGGCGACATCTTCTTCTTCCTTCGTCCTTCCTCCTCCCTTCCACCTTCTTCTTCTTCTTCTTCTTCTTCTTCTTCTTCTTCTTCTTCTTCTTCTTCTTTCAGAGAGAGAAAGAGAGGTTACAGGCAGAGGGTACATCGGGCCATGAGTTCCAGGATCTGATTCGGCATTTTTGTGGCAGACATTGATTGGACATTCGGCAGGGAGACTATTTTTGGACTTCGCTATCGCGATCTTGGTCTTCTCCCTCATCTCCATCTTCGTCTCGCCTCTTCCCCCATCTCCTCATCCGTGGTACCTCCCCATGTGCGTGCTCAAGGAGGGACCTTTCTTCTGTGTATGTGGTCCCTCTCCTCTCTCTTACATGTGTGGTGTGTGATGGGGTGTCGTGTCAGTACCTGACAGGTTAGGTCATATCTTTGAGTCCTTCGCTGCACTACGTTGTGCTATTTTGGTATGTATCTGGATGTACATTGCTGGTGGATGGTTTGCTGACGCTGCATTGTCCATTCGAGTCCTTTGCGGATCCTTGGCTCCATATGCATTGCTCGATCGAGTATGTATCACTGTCGCGGAACTGCATTTCTTTTTGTGTTTCAACAAAAACAACAATTGTATTCCAAAGTCTACCCGGAGTGCAAATATAAAGAGCTGGGGGTGTACATTGTGGTAAAATTGAGTGTGTGTGGAAAGGGGCCATGAGTCAAACACCGACCTGTTTATAGTGTTCAGTGTCTTGGCCCTGAAGAGTAGAGATCACTCCAAAGCTGCGCTGGCCTAGACCACACGGGTAATCTGCAAATGAACGAGCACTGTTTACCTGTCAATGCAAGGCTCCTGACACTGAATCCACAAGCACACTCACTGGGAGACGCAGTTTCACGTCTGAACCGAGCTCCGTTGACCATGCTACTAGCGGTGAAAATCACACAAAAAGGACAATGGCAGGATCCCGACCTGAGCCGTGGGGCCTTAAATCCTTTCACCCTGTGCAGTGTGCACTCATTTCCCTGTTTTCTTTGAACAGGTACTTATGGTTCTGGCTCCATATCCATTATAGGGAGCATCAATACGGTTACTTTCCCCCGAGCAAGTCACAGAAATACGTCAAATGAACACACACGCTTCCTTCCGTTTGGCTGGAGGACCCCTGATCTGCATTTTTGCTCCAATCAGATGGATGATTGACTGTCAGCTTGGCTTTTTTCTAGAAATCCTCTCAGCCTTGGGCCTTCACTGTGCTATATCTGTTGGATCAATTTTGATACTAGACTCTATAAGGCAATCAGTGCTCGCAAGCAATCCATGCCCCTTCTCATTCCTCATTTCTCGAGGCTGTCTGCTGGATTGCCGCAGAGTTGGAGTACCCTACGACAGTACCGTAGCCCTTCTTCCTTTGCTGGTGTTTTTGTTCCCTGTTACGTCCAGACGGGGGCCTGTGCCTCCTCCGTCTGGGTATTTCGATGTATGACTGTGGTGTCAGAATTGTGCCCCAAATTCGCCCCTCAGATTAAGACTGTGGAGATAAGCCACCTTGCCCCTTGCTAGCCAAACCCGCTTGAATTTCGCCAGTATCTCCTCTTCTGTATTAGGAATCTTTGGAATTTCGGATTGCTCTCGACTAAGAGCTTCTTTCCTGTATCCTAAACTGGAAGCAAGAAGTTCAAACGCCATGGCAAAAGCATATGTCGAGCATAAGGTATGCAAGCTAGATATGGGGCCTCGCTCCACTACCCTCGATTTTGCAAAATTTTGAAAGAATCGAGAGTGGGTCGAGAGACGTGAAATTGAGAGAAAACGGGTCGCGGCTCCACTACTCTCCATTCTCTACCCATGTTGTACTACTAGGGGGAAAAAACGAAAAAAAGAAAACTGAATACCTCCAAGGCAGCTGGCCCTCCAACTTGAGCAGCGCTCTCACTTATCGAGAGCGGTGCCATCCTCCCTTCAAATTTTCGTTTGTGCAGGCTGGGCAACTCTCGTTTTTGCGAAGTGGAGAGTAGTGAGCGAGGCCATGACTATGAGATTTAAATGTGCATAAGAGCTAAGGAAATGAAACTATAATAATAATGAAAAAACGAAAGGTAGAGAGGAAAGGAAAGATGGATGAGTGCGTCGAGACAAGTGAAGAAAATATATGTATATGTGTGTGTGTGTGTGTGTGTGTGTGTGTGTGTGAGA